GGAATTGTGGACGAGGTAAGTGGTAATCCATTTGTTTCGGGATAGAAAATCGGTGCTATGAATGGACTGTCAGAATTATTGCTTGTGCATTTGCACGAGGTTCTTAATGTTTGAAGTGGTTGTGATTGGAAATTTTTGAGGCCTTCATCTGAGATTCATAATCTCTTAGGGTTTGCTTGGTCCTTATTTGGAAAATCATCTTGCGTGTGTTATACTTTCCAAGAGTCGGGGATGGTTTGTACCTGGTTGAGCAGGTATGAGATATGGTTTGGTTGCAACACCAGTGGGTGGTAGTTTGAACCCTAAGTAAGAGAGAACTAGGTATTTTGCTTGGAGGATCATCGATATATTCAATTTGTGCAGTCGGAAGAATGGTTCATATGGATCTGCGATGCGGGTATGCGAGACTTCAATTCAAGATTTGGTTAAGTCAGGGGTGTAGAGAAAGTGGCTATCAGATGTATGTGGTCAGGAAATGCGCGAGTTGTCTCGCAGCAGTAAGTAGTTGGTCAAGGAGCTCGTGGTAGCGATTGGTTCCATTTAGGATGCCAATGAAAAGATGAGGAGGCGCTAGGACCGCTCAGGCTGAGTATCGGTTGTTGAGGGATTTGTCGGCTCGTTGTATGGATTACTATTTATAGTCTAGATTGGGCAATTGTCAATCGGTAAATCAGTTTCAGAGATAGGTATGTTCAGCTCTGCATGGGTTTTGGTTCAGTAGTTTATTGGTTCATTGGATTAGGTGTCAATGCATTCTCGATAATTGGTCATTTCGTTAATCATCAAAGCAGAAATTCTACAGAAATTTGAGTTGTATCAGTTGAAGTTCAATGGATTCATCAACCTATCGTCAAGTTCGGTTCGAGTTTGGAAGTGGTCCTTGGTTATTAGGAGTCTAGAATTTGGGACAGTGTTGTTCAGCTTTCCAGATGGGACATTAGATCTGCGTAGAATCTAATTTTGGCCTGTCGTGCTGACAGGGTTGATATATGGATGGATCCGACCATGGTTTTAGCAACATTTGTGGTTGACTTTAAAAAGCTTTATCGAGCTAGTTACATATTGATGGGATCTGTTTCGGTCGTTCATGAGGATGTTTCTATTAATGATTGAGGGTCGTCACTACATTATACCTACTAGTACTTCACCCTTTGGGTAAGGTTATGAGGAAAAGGGAACACAATAGATCTAAGGTTGGTTATAGGTTTCCTTAAGGGTGTGTATGGTGGTAAGTTCATTAGATTTTGTTGTGAGGGACGTATGTAGTTAGGACAAGATAGCAATGGAGCCAAGGCCGTCTCAACCAGTTTGGGGGCTCTAAGCGAACCAAAAATTTGGGGCCCCTTGCCAAAAGCCTTTTGACATTTACTATACTTAATGTTATAAACCCTCCTCCTTTATCCGGGATTGGGGCAATAATAAACTAAAAGTTTATAAATGGTGGAGTTAAAAATCTTTTTTTTATTATGTATATGTTTTTTGTGAATATATTTAAGACATCAAGTTAATTTTTATAACCTTTTTAGATTCAACTTCTATAATGAAATTTTCATAATCAATTTCTTTTACTAAATGTTTTTCAATCGACAAAATAGCTAATACATTTAATCTTTCTTGTGACATTGTACATCTTAAATAATTTTTAACAGTTTTAATTTAGAAAAACTTCTTTTTGCAGAGGCAACGATTACAAGAATAGTTAACATAATCCTATTGGCAACATATGCATTTGGAAAAGAAGTAAACTTTTTAATGTAATTAAGTATATTAATAGTTGTATCACGTTCTAACTGTACAATATGTCTTAAAAGTTTTAGTTCATGAAAAAAATCTAAACCATCAATATCTAAGCTATCATCATGCTTTAAAGATTTTTCAAGATTTAAACAATGTCCCTTTAAAGTATTATCATCAAATGATTTTATTTTTTTTATACTAAATAGAAAACTAAAAATATTTTTAAACTCATTAAATTGCTCAAATCTACTTTTAAGTGAAGTGATAGCTTTATATACTATATATAAAAAGTAATCAATTTTAAATAACTGAAGAGGAGTTTTAATAGTTTCATTAGTAACATTTTCATCATATCGTTTATTTCCTTGAATGATATGTTTTTAACGAAATTTAGGTTTTACTTTCATTTCTGAAGCCAATTCTTTTGCATAATCTAAAGCCTTTTCAAATCCGTTTTCTCTATATTGTTCAAAGAAACACATAAATCCATTTAGTTGATCTATAGCATCATCAATACACATATCATTTGATTTCAAGCTTTTACTAACAATGTTAATAGCAAAGAAAACATCATA